TTCAGTTAGATCCTTCAGGAGGTATCTAGAAGAAGGCATTGTCATCGTAGGTGATGGTTCCATGCCTGTTATTGCCCCAGTGGAACAAAATGTGGAGGGAGAAGACAGTGACATTGATGATCTTGACCCTGCGTAGACCTAGGCTAATGTGTGTGTTTGTGTCTTAGTTTTTAACAACAACAACAACAAAGCTTAAAAACTAATAAAGAAATTAGCCAGGTGTGGTGGCTCACGCCTGTAGTCCAACACTTTGGGAGGCTGAGGCGGGTGGTTCACGTAAGCCCACGAGTTTGAGACCAGCCTGGGCAACATGGCTAAACCCCGTCTCTACAAAAAAATACAAAAAAGTTAGCTAGGCACAGTGGCGGCACCTGTGTGGTCCCAGGTAATTGAGAGGCTGAGGTGGGAAGATCGCTTGAGCCTGGGAGGTGGAGGCTGCAGTGAGCCGAGATGGCACCATGGCACTCCAGCCTGAGTGACAGAGTAAGACCCTGTCCAAAAAAGATAAAAAAGAAAAATAAATTTAAAGTAAATGAATAATTTTTAAAATAGAAAAAAGTTTACAGAATAATGATGTAAAGAAAGAAAATATTTTTGTATAGCTGTACAATGGGTTTGTGTTTTAAGCTAAGTGTTATTACAAAAGAATCAAGTTTTTTAAAATTTAAAAGTGTACAAAGTTAAAAAGTTACAGTAAGCTTGCCAGGCACAGTGGCTCATGCCTGTAATCCCAACACTTTGGGAGGCCGAGATGGGTGGATCACCTAAGGTCAGAAGTTCGAGACCAGCCTGGCCAACATGGTGAAACTGCGTCTCTACTAAAATTAGAAAAATTAGCCAGCCATGATGGCAGGTGCCTGTAATCCCGGCTACTTAAGGGCTGAGGTAGGGGAATCGCTTGAACTCAGGAAGCAGTAGTTGCAGTGAGCCGAGATCGCGCCACTGCACTCCAGCCTAGACGACAGAGCAAGACCCTGTCTCAAAAAAAAAAAGGTACAGTAAGCTACGGTTAATTTATTACTGAAGAAAATATTTTTATATATTTAGTATAGCCTAAATGTACAGTGTTTACAAAGTCTACAAGAGTGTACAGTAATGTCCTCAGCCTTCACATTCACCCACCACTGACTCACCCATAGCAACTTCCAGTCCTGCAAGCTCCATTCATGGTAAGTGCCCTATATAGGTTTTCCATTTTTTATCTTTTATATCATATTTTACTGTACCTTTTCTATACTTAGATAAGTTTAAATATACAAATACTTACCATTGTGTTATAATTGCCTACAGTGTTCAGTACAGTAATATGCTGCACAGATTTGCAGCCTAGGAGCCATAGGTTACACCAGATAGCCTAGGTATGTAGTAGGTTTGTGAAAGTACACTATGATGCTTATACAATGACTAAATTGCCTAACGATGCATTCTTCAGAATGTACCTGCATCATTAAGCAGCACATGACTGTATACAGATAAATACAGAAATGATAATATGTACGTGTGTATACTTGGGTTAGTATATATATCCTAGCTCTGTCTGCTGAAAGGTCTAATTTCCCCACTCCGGTGTTGGCAAGACTTAGTAACTTGCTTCCAAACAATTGGATATTGAAAGAGTTTTTATATATATAAATGTAACTTTAAAGTACAGAAACCTAGCAAATATAATCTTAATCAAAGATGAAAGTTAAGATCACCAGTGATGCCATGTTGATAGCATGTAACCTCCTGATATGATGTGACAAGGAGGGTACCTCATCTCTGTGGTATTTTCCCCCAAAACCCATAACTCCAGGCTAATCATAACAAAAACATTAGGACAGTGGACATCCAAGACTCCAAGACGGTGTCAGTTCTACCAGTTTAGGAAAAGAACTGTACTCATGGATGTCAAAATAGAGGGATGACACGCTGGATACTGATGTGAGATTTCATCCCTAAAGACACTGTTGGGGCATTTCAACACAGCCACTACTGGTATTACAAGTATGTCAAAGTGAAGAAAGGGAGCACTCTCAGGGTTTCTACGCTGTTGGCAGCTTACATGTTTTTCAACTACTGCCTTTCTCACAAGGAGCTCAAACTTGAAAGGTTATACAACTGATTCAAGGTTTGTGAAAGCACACAAGTGGAAGTACCAAGCCCCTTTTAAACAGCAAAATAACCAACAACAAGCACAAAAAATGTTTTATTAAAAGTGACAGTTAAGAGATGACAAAAAAGACACTTGTTTACAGTAAGAGAGATGAAAGCAGACAAAATAGCACATTGTACAGCCTCAGGTAGGAACTTAGGCATCAGAAAACTCAAATTTTTCCACTGCCCTGTGTATGTCCACAAATCACTCCAAGTACTGATTTGGGGTTAAAATAAATTTCAGCAAGTAGGTGAATTTGCAAGTCTGAATGCTTGAATAATGAGAATTGACCGTAATACAATGTGTTGTTTTAGGCCACTGAGTATGGGGTGATTGTTACACAGCAATAGAATCCCAAAACACACCAAAGACATTTTTTGCCAGGCAGGGTGGCTTAGATTGGGTTCCCAGAACAGACTCTGAGAGAGAATTCTGTCCAATGGTTTGTTGAGGAGTGCTCATAGGAGAACTGCTCACAGAAGGCCGTTGCAACTAACATCTCAGCTGATCCTACAAGAGGCCTTTCCAAGTTGTCCCAAATAGAGGGAAGAAGGCTGGGCCTTTATATCTCTGCATAGCAATTACTTGCTATGGGATACCCCTGTGAAGAGACTTAATCCTGAGGGAATCAGTTCCCTGTGACTGACTGCCCATTTTGTGAGGGGTGCAGCTGTGAATCAGTATCTTCAGAAGCTGAGGGATGGCTGTGATTTCTCTGCAATGGGATCTAGCAGGTACACCACATGTCAGAACACAGGGTGCCTCTTCTGATTGGTTCTGAGTCCTGTTGACATGATAGCTTCCTTGCTATCTAGTATGACAAGAAATTTCAGGCTTATTTTATGCTTTTCCTGTTTCATCCCTGTAAATTTTTCAAGCCATTTCTCCAAGAAGCCCTGGTTTCTTTTGGTGGCAAATGGTATTTCCTTTTTTTGTTGTTGTTGTTGTTGTTCTTTTTTTGGTGGGGGGCGGGGGATGGAATTTTGTTCTTGTGGCCCAGGCTGGAGTGCAATGGAGCAGTCTCAACTCACTGCAACCTCTGCCTCCCAGGTTCAAGAGATTCTCATGCCTCAGCCTCCCAAGTAGCTGGAATCACAGGCACCCGCCACCACGCCTGGCTAATTTTTTAATATTTTTAGTAGAGACAGGGTTTCACAATGTTGGCCAGGCTGGTCTCGAACTCCTGACCTCAGGTGATCCACCAACCTCGGCCTCCCAAAGTGCTGGGATTACAGGCGTGAACCACCATGGCCAGCCGGCAAATGGTATTTCAAGACCACTAAAAATGCTTATTGTGCTCTATGTCACTTGCCCCTTATGACTAGAAACCCATAGGGATTTTTGTTGTTTGTTTTTACTTCCTTTTTGTTCAAGTCTCGCATTTTTAGTAAAACTGAGTGCCTGCCAGTCAACAACTCCTCTCCCTGTGTCATCTATCTCTTTCAGGTTCTACCCAGCCACCAAGCTCCTTACCTAGGAGTCCTCGTAATGACCACCTCTGTCCCCCACCTGCCATCTACATCTTATCTGTGGATGAAGGCCAGTGCCTGATTCATAAAAGATAATGCATAAGTATTTGTTGGAAAGAGTAAAATCAACTAATGTTTACTTGGCACTTGATGTTTTGTTCCCTGGGGGGCCATGCCCATCTTTTCTGGTAGCCTGAGGCTATTCCTCAGTAGCCAAGATGCTTGAATGGAATTTCTATTCTCCTGTAACAAGAAACATGCTCTAATATTGGCAGACCAAAGGGCACCCCATCCGGAACCATAAACTTCCTGGAGCCTGGGACTTTCCCCACTGCAGGGGCTGTAACCCTGGCCTACCCAGTTGTGTTTTTTCCCCATGATGAAGGCAACCTGGAAAGCAAAAGGGGGACAAAGCAATGAAGTGAAAGGGCAGTGAGAGAAAAGAGTAAGGCAATAGAGAATATATGAGCACCTAATTATCTATTCATTCACTCACTCACTCACCAAATAGTTCCTAAACTCCTGCTCTGTTCCAAGCCTGGAGCTGGAGGATGGAAGATAAGGAAAGATTAGACAGAGTCCCACGGCCATGAAGAACAACATGTCAACCAGTGGAAACAGAGAAATTAACAGGCACAGAGACTGCAGAGTCCAGGGAGCCCAGAAGAAGGCACATTACATTACACAGCCCAGCAGAGTCCACAGGAGTGGTTTGTGGAAAGGGGTAATGCATATATTGGGGCTGAACTGATGAGGAAGAAGAAAGAAGGAAATGAGAAGCCATACTGGCATTCCCAGCAGATGGAACATGGAAAAGGGTCAGTCTGTTCTGAAAGAAAGATGCAAGTAACAGAAATAGGTGGCAAGTCCTGGGCATCCAACTCTTCTTCACGGGCATTTCTGTAGGTCATGACCTAGAACTTGCTGGGTTTAGCTGTAACCAGGTAGAGTTTGAAAAGCAGAGTATTTTCACCCACTGAGCCCCAGCTCCCTCAGGCAGCAGGTTCTCTCTCTCTCTCTCTCTCTCTCCCCCCCTCTCTCTCCCTCCCTCCCACACTTGTTATAGGGCAGCAAGGAGAAGCAGGAAGATGTCTGAGTGTGCCACACCTCAGTCTCTGTCCCTCTTGATGCTCCTGATGCAGGGTTTGTTAAACTCAAGTGCCACATTCCCAGCTACAGAGATGCCGATGGCAAAAAAAAAAAAAAACCAGCAGCAGGACCCACTGGGTAAAGCCACCTGTCAGACTTAATGAGCGCAGAAAACTCCTCATCCCTGGCTCTGCCAGAGTTTAATAAAAACCATGAATATCTTCCTAATAAATGGGAAGCCAATTCTTTATAGAGTATGTTACATACAACCTCACACCCCAGTGAGCAGAGCTTCAGAAACAGAGGAGACTCTCCAAACATTTATTCAGTTGATTTCTGAAAACTCCACACTCCGTAACAGACCCAACACAACTTGTAGTGTCCCTGAAAGTGGCCACTAGGGCACTGAGGAAAGAGGTGCAAGAATGGGTTGCCCCAAGAGAGCTGGTGTGGCAGAGGCTGTCCACTCGCAGATGGATCCACACTGGGCTGCAGGGGATCTTCTCCCAGCCCCAGACAGTGGAGCCAGAGTGGAAGTCCCAGGCCTCACACCTCTGCAGGGACCTGGTAACGCCTCCTTCACTCTCTGAGCAATCACCCAGCTGGTTAGTTTCTCAAAGTCTCAGGTGGGAGCCCTGACACCAGAACCACGTTGAACGCTTGCTTCACTGTTGATGATGTTTCTTCTTTGATAGATGTTCCCCCAGATATTGATGAGTCACCGTGGCCCACCTGGCAGGGCGGGTGGCCCTCTAGCTGCAATCAGTTCACTCCCTCCTTCCCACCAGCCAGAGCACAGCCCTGGTGCAGGCATGGCTGAGGCAGGTGACCAGAGCACAAGGCAGGGGTACTTTCCAAGGCCCAGTCTCCCTGCCATGCTCTATTGTATGGATCTCCAGAGGGCCCGTGGATTCCAACTGGGATTTGTGGAAAAGGCATTCAGAAGGAGTGGGAGGTTGGTCAGAGGAGATACCTAAGTGTGAGACTCAGAAACAGGGAAAGTAGAATGGGATCCAATCACCGGGTCACCAGGATGCCCAGGGGCATCATCAGACACAGGACTAGGATGAGGGAGTCTGCTGAATTCAGACAGGAAGCTTGTCTCAAGTGATCAATAATCCATTTCTTGTAGAAACTAACTTCCGTGTAAACTCCAGGATATCCTTTGTTACTGCAGCCAATGCCCCAGCTCACAATTCCCACCTGGAACCATGTGCCATTTAATTCACACACCAGGGGCCCCCCAGAATCTCCCTGGAAAAAGAAAGATAGTCACTGTAGGAAAGAAATAGCATCCACATCAGAGCAAACTAATTGCACTGCAATGGGCTGCAGAGCTAGGCACTCAGGGGGCTTCCCCAGGAACCCCTAAGACCCTCCCTAGCCTTGGGTATCTGTCAATATGAGATCTGAGAATTGACAATTTCCAATAAACCAAAATCATGTACCTACTAAAAAGGTGTGTTCCAAAAAACAGAATATACATAATGGAATCGTGCCTACTCTGAGACAATGATGAGTCAGGTGCTTACCTGAGTACACTGCCTGCCACACAGAAGGGGCTCAAGACATGGAGCATGTATTGTTGGTGGGACCTGCCTGATTCACCCCTCCTCCCACTCCAGGCTGTGTCAGCTGCTCTCTCCTGAAGGATCAGGTAGGCTGCCCAGGAGAGCCTTGGTGGCTTGTCCTCATGTCCCATTACCATGAATAAGGGTAACGGAGAGGCTAGGAGATAACCCAGGCCCTACTGGCTGGGGATGAGGAAGCTTTGAGGAGACAACTACAGTGCTGAGGTAGCAAGAGGCCCATGAACTGACCTGACAGGAATCCTTCCCTTGGTCATTATAGCCACAGACGGTCCCCTTCTTGACCATTTCATTCCTAATTCTCATCTTTTCCTTGAATACCTTATTACATTTCTCATGAAGCATAATGCTTAGTTCAGCCTCCTGAAGCTCAGTTACTATCTTTTTTGATGAATCTGCAGAGAGACAATTTACAACTGAGTGGGTCTGCATAAGTGGGACAGGACAGGAGAACCCCTTACCCACTCTGGGTCTCAATACCGTGTGTTCACACACAGATACCCTCTTAGGCATTGGATATTGTCCCATTTGACAAGGGAAGATATGAGGCCCAATGTTGACATGGGGAGACAAGGACATAAGATCCAAACAAAAACAGGGGAAATAAGAACAGACGGGAAAGGGAAGGCAGGGCATTACCACCCTGAGAAACCAAAACCAAGCATCTGTCACTCTGAATAGTAGTACTCATAGTGACACAGTATCCTGTACATCAGTAAAGCATCTATACTTTCTAGAGCAGGATCACAGACTGTCAGACAGGTAATGGCCCGAAGGTACCAAATCCAGCCTCTCCCCAAGGGTAGGAGGCCCTACACCTCACTGACAGGTCTCTGGCCTCTTCTCATACACAGGAAGCTCCTTATCTACCAAGGTAGGTACTTCCTGGGAGGGACACCTTAAAAGGGCAGACAGCTAGCTCATCACCCCCAGAGTTAAAATCCACCCGAGAGAGAACCCACCATGCCTGGCACCCAAATCCCCAGGTCCTGACAAACCAAAAGAATTTCATAGACCCGTTGTTAAAATTATTCCCTGGCAGCATCTACTGCACCCTCCTCCCTGACTTACTAAAAAAAATCTGCCTCCCTGTCCCTCCCTTTAGCTTGTAGATCAACCCCAGGGCACCAAGCAACATTTTCCCTGGTCTGGGGCTGCTGTAGTCTTGCTTCATAGTCTCACCTGTTTCATTCACTTTGCCCCATCCTGTCACCCAGCACTTTGTATCAGCTTGTACCATGAAAGCCTGTTCAGGGAGGCACACAGGCTGGATGTGCGTGGAGTAATTCACAGGGAAGTGAAGCAGAGCAAGGGCAATGTCATTTTCAATTATCCCAGAAGACGTAAAATATCGGTGGATAACGATGTCACGAACTGGGACTACAAGTGCTGTTTTGGAGCGATGATGCACATTTGTGTCTCCCAGTTTCACTCTGTATTCCAGATGACTGCAGGAAGATCCTCCAGGGTCTACACTCTGCTTCCACACCTTCCAGGTGCTTCCCGCCTGGTACCATCTTCCTATGCCAGCCAGCAGCTACCTCCCTCTCTCCAAACCACATCCCTCCAGGACCCCTGACCACTTTAGCCGGTGGTCTCCAGATCAGCTGCGGCAGCAGCAGCACCTGGAAACTTGTTAGAAATGCTAATCATCAGGTCTCACCCAGACTGGATAAAAACTATGGGGCTGTCACCCCCTTTTACAGATGAGGAAGAGGAGGTTGAGGAAGGGGGACAGACTGGCTCCAGTTCCCGCAGCCTGATCAGGGCCCAAGCTCTGAGCCCCAAACACTCACCCAGAGATGCAGTGGGCGGCAGTAAGCACCCAGCGCCTGGCAATAAGGGAGCCTCCGCAGATGTGTCTGTTGCTGGTGGTCTGCAGGCTCACCTGCCAGGGCCACTTCCTATCTGGGCTCCTCAATCCTCCAATTATCCTTGCAAACCGCTTGCCGCAGGCTGGGGCAGGTCAATGAAAGGAAGGGACTAAAAGTAACGCTGCTGTAGCACCTTCACCATGAGCCTCAGAACCCTCAAAACAAGGCCTGCATCCCCTGAGGCTCTTCGGAAAATGGCTGTATCCTCCCAGGTCTCAGGGAGCCGCTCCGCCCCTGGACAGATCGTGTCCCCTGAGCCCCTCCTCCTCTAGGGCAGGTCCCCTCCCCCTCAAACCAGGCCAGTTCTCTGCGGCTGGGCATGGCCCAGAAGCGTCACCTGACGTTTAATGCTACTGTCCCGTTGGTCCATGTTGATGACAGTGTGTGGGATTGCCAGAGCCTGGTAAGAATCAGACTCACCTGAGGGAAATGACACCGGAGCGGGGGTCACTGTCTTCCGTCTGGACTGACCGGCCGCTTGGGATCCTGGAGCCCCTACAGGTGGCGGCTCCCATCCGCTCGCTCCGGGGTCCTGGCCGCCTGGCCCTGAGGGGAGAGCGGAGGAGAAGAACAGTGCTACGCCTCCCTGCGCACCCGCCCTGCCCGCCCGGGCCTCGTCGAGCCATGGCTGAAGAAGCAAGAGCCAGGCCAGGAGCCCGAGGGAGCTGCCGCCCTGGGACGCCATGGATACTGCCGGCAACCTCAGCCTCCGTGGTGGCGCCGCCTCGCAGCGGTTTCCACGCCTGCCATGCGTTCTGGCTGGAGGCTGGAGCGCCCGCGAGGGACGAGGGGGAGGGGCCGGGACACCGGACCGTCCGAGGGGCGAGGCCTAGGCGGGGTCGCGCCGTGCAGTCCTGACTCAGATGAGTCCTCTCTTCGCAGCTCTCCGTGGACTCAGGTCCCTCCACCTCATCTGGCGCCTCCCTGGCATTCAGTGTCTCCTGGCCTAGGTCCCTGGCCTCAGAGTGGCAGCGGTCCAGCCCTTTGTTCATACAAAGACGCGTCCACTACTCTACGGCAGAGCTTCCTCCAGGCCAGGACTTTACCAGAGTCTCCCTCCCTTATTTGTCTGCAATAAAATTTAAAACTCTTTAACATGCATGTTGCACTTAACATTACTAACCACTGCGTTAGAGACGATACTGCTACCTTTTTGAAAATCAACACCCACATGAAAAGATGTTCAACATTGAGGCAGGATAGATAGACCATGTCCTCGGGACGCAGCAGCCGTGATGACCTTTCCACAATCAACGCCATAAACCTCAGCATTCGCATTGTAATTGAGCTCATTCAAGCAAAGCTATCTTCAGCAAGAAATTTCCCCTGTAGAGTGCATGCACACTTCGATTTTACCTTTCTCAGACTGACCCTTCTTTCATTATCACAGTAAAAAGCACATTCCGGGTGTAGATTTCAGATGCTGATGAGACGTGCGATGTATGAACAAGTATGCACAGCTACTGTGCATGTACACCCATAGGACCACCCAGAACATGCTTACTAATAACACCTCTTTCCACTCCTTATAAATAACCATGTAATACTCCCATAAAGAGAGTCTCCCTAGTGCCAGTCTTCACTGTCTCATCCTTATAAGCAGACCACTCTGAATCATCTCTCTCTCAGGGTGTACTGTCTATTCTGCACTTAACTTTCAAAATATTCTTTTCCCTTTACAATAAATTGCTCTATGCTCCATCTCCTTTGCTATGCATCTCTTATTTAAATTTTTTTTAACTAAGAAGACAAGAACCAAAGTATCACAACAACTGTCAAGAACATCATGAGTCAATAACAAAATGGAAATTAAAACCACAATGAGATATCACTACACACCTATCAGACTGGCTAAAATAAATAATAGTGACAACATCAAATGCTGGCATGGATGCAGAGATATTGGATCACTCATACATTGTGGTGGGAATATAAACTATTACAGCCACTCTGGAAAACGGATTGGCAGTTTCTTATACAACAAAATAAGCAATTACTATACAACCCAGTAATTATACTCCTGGGTATTTATCCCAGAGAAATAAAGATGTTCACACACACAAACCTGTATAAAAGTTTGTAGTATCTGTACTCACATAGCCAACATCTGGAAACAATCCTGTAATGAACAGAATAATGACCTCCCAAAAATGAGCACACTCTAGTCCATGGAACCTGTGAATATTTTACTGTACATGGCTAAAAAATGTGATTAAATCAAGCATATTGAGACAGGGGATTATTCTGGATTATCCTGGTAGGCTCAATGTAATACCAAGTATCCTAGAGGGAGGAAAGAGAGTCAAAGTCAGAAAAAAAGATGTGATGTCAGAAGCAGAAGTCAGAGAGAGAGTTTTGAAGATGCTATACTGCTGACTGCAAAGGTTAAAGAAGGGGCCACAAGCCTAGGAATGCAGCAGCCTTTAGAAACTGGAAATGGCAAAGAAACAGATTTTCCCCTAGAGCCTGCAGAAGGAAGACAGCTGGCCAACACATTGATTTTAGGACTTCTAACCTCTAAACTACAAGATAACACATTTGGGTTGTTTCAAGCCACTACATTTATGGTAAATTATTACAGCTGTAATAGGAGATGAATACAAACCCTAATGTCCTTCAGTGGGTGAACAGTTAAACAAATAGTGGTACATTCATACCACAGAATACTACTCAGCAAAAGATAGAATAAAATATCAATAGAGGCAACAACTTGAATAAATTTCCGGGGAATAATGCTGAATCAAAAAAGCCAATCCCAAAAGGTTGCATGCTGTATAGTTTCATTTATATAACACTTTTGAAAAGATAAAATTTGAGAAATGAAAAGTAGATTAGTGATTGTCCAGAGTTAGGGAGGTAGGCATGGTTTTGTAAAGGCAATACAAGGAATACTCTGGTAATAAAATTGTTTTGTGTCTTGACTATGGTGGTAGAGACTCACACATATGATTACATTGGATAGAATTATACATACATCTTGACTTGCACACCCTCACAAATTAGCACAAGTAAAATTGGAGAAATCTGAGTAAGATAGATGGATTGTATCAATGTCAATATCCTGGTTGTGATGTGGTACTATCATTTCTCAGGATGTTACCACTGCGGGAACTGGGTAAATGGTATAGAGGATCTCTATTATTATTTCTTACAATTGCATGTGGATCTATTCAATTTCATAAGTTATCTCAAAAAAATTTTTAAACTTAATTTATAAAACAACACACTCAATCATAAAGCTTTAATAGTATGAAAATCTGGCCAGGCTCAATGGCTCACACCTGTAATCCCAACACTTTGGGAGGCTGATATGGGTGGATGACTGGAGCCAGGAGTTCAAGACCAACATGAGCAACATAGCGAGACCCATTCTTTACAAAAAATTAAAAACTAGCCAGGCATGGTGCTACACACCTGTAGTCCCAGCTTCTCAGGAGGGTGAGGTGGGGGGGATCACCTGAGCCTGGGATGTCGAGGTTGCAGTGAGCCATGATTTCACCACTGTACTCTAGCCTGGGCAACAAAGCGAGACCCTGTCTCAAAATAAAACAAAAGAAATAAAGATAAAAGTTTGTATACAGTATTGTTATTGTCTAATCTTGACCCCAGAATATACACTTCTAAAACCAATTAGCCTATCTGATATAAACATTAGCAATATATTATTATTATTAAGGCAAGTTATTTTCATTGTAGAAAAATAAGAAAAAAAACAAGCAAACCGAAGAGGGAAATCTCATTATCTTCACAATTGGGCACATATTTTGGAGCCCATTTTTTCATATAACAATATATTCTGTTAAAAAGCTAAAAAAGCTTAAAAAAATCAACCTCAGAGTACAATTTGCCATCTTTTCTAGTCATCTTTAGGTTTACTGATCCAACCTTTGTTTATCTCAAAACGTATTAGAATACTTCTTTTGAAGTCATTGTATATTATTTCCTTGAAGGAGAAACATTCTTTGCTGCAGTCCGATCTCAACATCCAAGTTCTAGATCTTAAGCCATGTCCAGGCAACATTTTTCACAGTCTCTGCTGTTTTTCTCCTGTGCAGTTGATGAATTCAACCCAATTACAACCATGTTAAAGAACAGACTTGCTTTGTTTTTTTCAGCATCCAGAACCATATGGGAAGCTATGATTATCTCTTCATAGGTGGATGAACAGATTAACCAATAATTGTAATACAGTATGATAAGTATCTTGAATGAAAGACATGTTCGATATCTTTTGAAAGCCAATTTTTCAGTGACTATCTACATTTAAAATAACATCCTACCTAGTAATTTCTCTGCTGGTTTATTCTATACAGATATCCTTTCAGAAAACATGCCAAGTATGCCAAAATATATATAACAAGGCCCTGCAGCAACTGTTTGTAATAGTAAAGCACCATTTTAAAAAAATGTAAATTCTCATCAATAAGACGCTGGTTATAAGGAAATATCTTCATGACCATGGAGTAAAGAATTATTTCTTATACAAGATACAAAAAACACTGACCATGAAGAAAGATTAATAAATGTGACACCTTTAAATTAAGAACCACTGTTCATCAAAAGGCACCATAAAAATTTGTGGAAAAAATTAAAAGCCACGTGGTGGGGGGAGATATTTGCAACACACATAACCAATTAAAAACCAGTATTCAGAATATCAAAAGAACTGAAAATCACTCACAATATGGCAGATACCTTGAAGGCGCTGCACAAAAGAAGAAAAACAAATGGCCAATAGGAGTGACAAAGGAAGATTCAGAAATAAATGCATTTTAAAAACAAATAAGTTTCTTTGTAGGGTGCGAGAAAGTCAGACCTCAGAAGAATTGATTCGTCAAACCTATACAGTGAGCATTTAAAGGAAAAAATGCCATAAAATTACCAAGATCACCAGGCTTAAATGAGTCTGTTCAAACTGAGAACACAGCAACTTTCTCACATGACCATCATGTTCACAAAGGTTATAACATATACTGAGACATCAGCAGAGTAAAATTAAGAGACAAAATCATTTTTGTTTTGTTTTGAAGTCTAGGTTTGCAGGAATATTGACAGTTTTATTAGTTTGGTATCACAATTAGATAGGATGCCCCTGTTACATTTTGGTTTATTTCTGGAATCAATCCTCTGACTATGCCATGGGGAAATACTTGGGCATTAGAAGTAAGGTAGAGTGTTGGTTTTTGCTTTTACAGACCCCCCTTGTGGTAAAGTTCCTTCCATTAGGGCAAATTTCACCAAATGAGTTGCTTAGCAATTTTCTGATTCCATACCATTAATTCAAGAGTTTTGTATTACTCAACCAGTTTATTTACAAAGGAATAACAAAAGGTGTTGTTTAATACATAAAGACCTCTGTGACAGACTGCAAAAATGACCACAATACTTTGCAGTTCCTCCTGTCAAGAGACGGAGTCAGGCTGTGGTATAAGCAGCCTTGTCACCTGGGGTATATGACCTGGCAAATACCATGGTGCTAGAGTTTGCCATGGTTAATTAAAATGCTGTAAAGAGTCTCTGATATGTCATACCTAGAGAGTCACAGTGTAGATCTCTCAGTTCTGGAGCAAGATCATACCATCTGCAGCAAAGAAACTACATTATTTGAAAAGCAACTCCTGACACACTACTAAACCCTAAAGGAAACTAAGTGCCAGACCACAAAACATCAAGTGACCAAGAAACTGGAGCTTCCTATCATAAGGTAGATATTTAGTCAGACTCACCAAGTCATAGACTCAATTGGACTAAACAGCAATCCATCATTCAATGGAAGTGATACTTTGGGACTGGATTATGACAGGTCTTGAAGACACAAGTAAGTTACACAAAGAGATGAACTAGACCCCCATGTCACCTATTTGTGATGCATTGAAATGTCTCCCTCAGTTTACACTCATAGACTTATGGGGAGCATCCTAGCTAAATTAGGAGGAAAAACTTGTACTTGGTTCAAAAATGAACTCAAAATCCTGTGCCAGCTGAAAATAGGCTGCTATTGCATTCTATCCCTGTATTAGTCAGGGTTCTCTAGAGGAACAGAACTAATAGGATTTTATATATATATATTTATTTATGTGTGTGTGTGTGTGTGTATACATATATATATATATATATGGGAGCTTATTAAGGAATATTAACTCACACAATCACAAGGTCCCACAGTAGTCCGTATACAAGCCAAGGAGCAAGGAAAGCCAATCCAAGTCCTAAAACTGAAGAACACGGAGTCCAATGTTTGAGGGCAGCAAGCATCCAACACAAGACAAAGATGTGGGCTGGGAGGCTAGGCCAGTCTAGTCTTTTCACGTTTTTCTGCCTACTTTATATTGTAGCCATGCTGGCAGCTGATTAGATGATGCCCACCCAGATTAAGGGTGGGTCTCCCTTTCCCAGCCCACTGACTCAAATGTTAATCTCCTTTGGCAACACCCTCACAGACACACCCAGGACCAATACTTTGCATCCGTCAATACAATCAAGTTGACACTCAGTATTAACCATCACAAGTCCACCCCTTGTTGACTTGAACCCATATGCATCTCCTGAGATCATACATAATTTTCAGATAAAGATAATAATAAGGTTATAATTACACCTAGCACAATACAGCTATCCTTTGTACAACTGGAAACACACCAATCCCCAACCCAAATACTGTTAAATAAAGTTAGCAATACTTAAATGTTGATATGAAGTGAGTAAATCTTATGTCACGTTGATAAAGGAAAAAGGAAATAAAATTATATTTTCTTAGTGCAAGTGTGTACAAACATGTTTTTAACGAAAGGAGGAAATACTCATGACAGTTACAGTCCTTATTTCTGCAGCTGGTCACGTGATCATAACTGGTATTGATGACTACCTTCTTCTACTACCTATTCTGTATTCCCTTTGCCTTGCCTTCAGCAAGCACCACAGCAGGTCGTGGCTTTTTTCCTGGTGGAGTGACCCAAACCTTCATTCCTGAAGGGTCTGGGCCATTTGCAATCTTCCCTGGATTGGGTTGTTGTAGTTTCCCATTGACTTTACTCACAGGGTGGTAATACTAAGAGACACCCTAATGGATCTCCTGTATTCCATACATACTCTTTCTTATCTGCATTGTGGAGTAGTAGACTGATTTCATCTTGATAGTTCGAGTCAATCACCTCAGCCAACACTGTAACTCCCTTCTTAGCCTGTTGACTTAAAGATAGGAGGAGCCCAAAGTGTCCGGGGGGCAATCTTAACTTCCGGTTTAATGGAATCATTGTTGTGTCTGCTGGTGGCAGCATTCCTCCCTCTCGAACTAAGACCTCTAGGCCAGCAGAATGTAACACTGCAGGAACTGGAAGCAAAAATTTTGCTAGTGGATCATTAGGGGTGATGGTGAGTGGTGCCACTTCTACTTCCACCCCTTGATTCCTGGACTGGTGAAACCTGGCTATGGGAGAAACAGTATCATGTATTAGATTCTGACTCAGAGCATACATGGCCTTCTGGAGAACTTTGCCCCAGCCCTGCAAAGTATTGTCACCTAGTTGGCATTGCAATTGTGACTTCAAAAGGCCATTCTACCATTCTATCAACCTAGCTGCTTTGGGATGATGGAGAACATGGTAAGACCAGTGAATTTCATGAGCATGAGCTCACTGCCACACTCCTTTAGCTGTTAAGTGAGTGCCTTGGTCAGAGGCAATGCTGTGTGGAATACCATGACACAGATAAGTGGATAAGGCATTCCGTGAGTCCATGGATGGTAGTCTTGGCAGAAGCATTGCATGCAATGCTTTCTCCATTGCATGCAATGGCAAACCCATTTCTGGAGTAAATATCTATTCCAGTGAGGATAAACCTCTGCCCTTTCCATAAGGGAAGACGTCCAATATAATCAACCTGCCACCAGGTAGCTGGCTGATCACCCTGAGGAATAGTGCCATATCGAGGGCTCAGTATTGGTCTCTGCTGCTGGCAAATTGGGCACTCAGCAGTGGCCATAGCCAGGTCAGCCGTGGTGAGTGGAAGTCCATGTTGCTGAGCCCATACATAACCCAAATCCCTGCCACCATGGCCACTTTGTTCATGAGCCCATTGGATGATGACAGGGGTGGCTGGAGAAAGAGGCTGGTGTCCACAGAACAGGTCATCCTATCCACTTGATTATTAAAATTCTCCTTTGCTGAGATCACCTGTTGGTGAGCACTCACATGGGATACAAATATCTTGACAGTTTTTGACCACTAGGGAGGTCTATCCATATACCTCTTCCCCAAATTTCTTTGTCATCAATTTTCCAATCATGCTTCTTCCAAGTCCCTGACCATCCAGCC